CACTTTGAGAAAAGAAAAGTGAATCAGTTCCTTATGAGACTTAGGCCCGAATATGAGATTATCAGGTCCAACACTTTGGACACGTTGCTTCTCATTGTAAGAAGAATGTTTGCACCTACTGTAAGCAGCATGGTCACATTATCCTAGACTGTCCAATTAGACCATCTAAAGGTGCACAAAAGAAAGACCAACCACATGCATATCAAGTGACTGAGGGCCAAGCCACTGATGCTTCCTCTTCCAAGGGTGATTCTTCTACCAGGGGTGAATCTCCTGCATCTCCTACATCTATGGATGAAATTCGGCAACCGGTATCATTTGCTATTTCCTCCGCTTTTTCTGCCATTGGCTTGTCTGGTGAGTTTTCTGGTTACTTTCTTCTCACTCTCATATTTGGACCATTGATTCTAGAGCAACTAATCATATGAGAAGAGCTTATTTGGAACCCCCAGATAGCATTCCTAAATCCCATCATAGACATATCATTACTGCCAATGGTGTAAAACTGAATATCATTGGTAGCAATGACATTTCCCTTAAGCTATCATCTACTGCCTCTTTTCCTCTTACCAAAACCTTTCTTGTACCTAAATCTTACTGCTAATCTGATTTTTGTCGGTCAGCTTGTTGATGAAGGATATATACTTACTTTTTCTCATGATGGTTGTTTGATTTAGGACCGGTACACTGGGAAGGTGAAAGGGAAGGGGCGTAGGCTAGGCCGTTTATTTGCATTGGAGTTCGAGAATCCCAAAGAACCAGCATCTTCAGCATATCTTAGCTCATTTCCTTCTGAATCTATTGTTGGACAAAGGAATAATGTTTGGGATTTATGGCATAAACATTTGAGACATCACTCATTTTGAAAAGTTGAAATTTTTGTTTGACTCTGGTTCTATTAAAAATAAAATTCCATTTTTAAGTACTTTTGATATCTCATGTGTTTCTTGTTGCTTAAGTAAAAGTAGCACTCTACCCTTTTCTCACACATCTAAGCATGCCACCTCACCATTTGAGATCATTCATAGTGATGCTTGGACTTCACCTATTATTTCTTGACTTGGATACAAGTACTTTGTCTTGTTTATTGATGATTGCACTAGGTATACATGGATTTATTTTCTGAGACATAAATCTAAAGTATATCCTACATTTCAGCTTTTCCATACTATGATACGAGTCTGGTTTCAGTCTCATATACGTATTCTCCATTCAGATTCATGGGGAAAATACACTGATGGAGACTTCTTAACCTACTTGAGAAGTCATGGGATACAAGTTCAATGAAGGTGTCCAGATACACCTCAACAGAATGGAGTGGTAGAGCACAAGAATGGTCATGTGCTCTGTGTTGTGAGAACCCTACTACAAGAATCTCATGCACCTTCTTCCTTTGGGTGGAAGCTGCCAGTATTGTTGTTTTCTTGATTAACTATGTTCCCTCATTAGTTCTAGCTAATATATCCCCTTTCCAGAAACTATTTGGTCGTTCACCAGACTTATCTAGCCTCCATGTTTTTGGGCGTCTTTGCTTTGTTCGTCTTCCTCTTCGTGAACGTTCTAAGTTAATTGCTCAGTTAATTATGTGTGCCATTGTGGGATATAGTCCAGATCACTAAGGATTTCTTTGTTATGATCCCTCTGCTCGTCGTATTCGTGTTTCTCGAAATGTTGTTTTCCTTGAGCATCTTTCCTTTTTTGCTATTGTTGCAAAGTTATCTGCTCCATCTGGTTCTGTCTTGCAGAATTTTGACTTATAGGATGCTTCTCCTCCTACTGGTGTGAAGGATTTTCTTGTCTTCTCTCGCGGAAGATTATGTGCCCCAGATCCTATGCCTCCAACTTCACTTCCTCCTAGCCCAAATCCTCCTCCCACTAATGCTCTTGTAAGTGATGTTCCTTCAGATTCTCTTCCTTTCACATATCTTCGTCGTTCCCCTCGTATTTCTCAACCCCCTGACCACTATGGCTTTCTTTCAAACCATAGCTCTTTTTCTGTTGTGTTATCTATCATAGAGATTCCCCGCTCATATAAGCAGGCCATTACTAGTCCTCATTGGAGAGATGCAATGGATGCAGAAATTCATGCCTTACAAGAGAATGACACTTGGGATTTGGTAGTCCCTCCCTCAGATGCTCCGATTATTGGAAATCGTTGGATTTACACAGTTAAGTTGAAGTCAGATGACTCGTTGGACCGGTACAAAGCTAGGCTTGTTGCTCAGGGATACACCCAAGAGTATGGCATTGACTATGAAGAGACATTTGCTCCTATTACCAAGATTACTACAGCCTATATCTTCTTAGCTTTATCTGCTACACATTCATGGGCCATACATCAGGTAGATGTGAAGAATGCTTTTCTTCATGACGATTTGAAGGAGACAGTATACATGAAGCTTCCTCCTGGATACAGTTATGATCCCTCAACTCTCTTGTTTGTTGGTTAAAGAAATCCTTATATGGTCTCAAACAAGCTCCCCGTGCTTGGTTTAAGAAATTTCGAGATGTTGTTGTGGTTGTTGGCTACAATCAGAGTGCCTCTGATTATTCTCTTTTCATCTGTCAAAGACCTCAAGGCATTACCATCTTGTTGTTGTATGTAGATGATATGTTATTGACAGGGGATGACGAGGTTGGAATCCAAGAACTTAAGTCTCTTCTCCACAGTTCCTTCCATATGAAAGACTTGGGTTCCTTTACTTATTTCTTGGGGCTAGAAGTACATCGTAACAACCGTGGTTACTTTGTTTGTCAACACAAATATTCATGTGACCTTATTAAGCTTGCTGGTCTTACAGACACCAAACAGGTTGATACACCTTTGGAACTCAATGTCAAGATGTCTAAATCTGATAGGGCCTTGCTTCCTAATGCTACTCTATATCAACAATTGGTTGGGTCTCTCATCTATCTCAACATGACTCGTCCGAACATTTCCCATGCAATTCAGGTAGTTAGTCAGTTCGTTTCAGCCCCACATGACTGTTGTCCACCGGATTATCCGTTACGTTCGTGGCACTCTGTCTCAAGGACTGTTCTTTTCTTTTTCATCTCCTCTTCAGTTGAGAGCTTATGCTGATGCAGATTGGGCAGGTTGTCCTAACACTAGATGGTCTACTACCAGATGGTGTGTTTTTTTGGTAGACTCCCTTATCTCCTAGAAATGTAAGAAATAACAGACAGTTTCTAAGTCATCTACAGAAGCTAAATACAAGGCTATGTCATCAGTATTCAATGAGATTGTTTGGCTTCAATCTCTCCTTGCTGATCTTGGTATTCACCTCCCTATGCCTATTCCTCTCTATGCTGACAACACTAGTGCTATCAATGTTGCATCTAATCCAATGTTTCATGAGAGAACCAAACACATTGAGGTGGACTGTCACTTCATCAGGGATCTTTTTCTTATTGGCTCTATTTCCCTTCCTCGTATAGCTTCCAACTTACAGATTGTTGACATTCTCACGAAGCCTAGTTTGTGGGGGAGTGTAGAGATACTTGATGCAATGTTGTTCTATGGTCCCTGTTGTACCATAGCATTATTTTTCTTTCTTATCTTTCAGCCCTCCAAGGGCCTCTTTGTAATTATTCCTTTTTTATCTTTAGCCCTTCAAGGGCCTCTTTGTATATACTTATACTAATAAGATATATAGGCTCTTTTGGGGGTGGGGGTTGGGTATACTGTTTGACACCCCTGAAACTCTTGGTGTTCTCTCAACCTAGAAGATTGACATAGGAGGGCTATGTTTTTCCTTCTTTATACTTCTCTCATCCTTCATTTCTTTATGCTTTTTTTCTTTTCCTCCTTGTCTCAAAATTAATCTCATGTAAGAGAAATGAAGATCTCCAGCCTTGTTCATGAAACTTGACTGATTATAGCACCCTAAACAATATTTATTTAACACTTTGTATAGGGTATATAGCCATCTATAACCTTGTTCAAGAAACATGGCTGAGGGAAAAATAATTGTATTATTTTCGGGGCCGATTGGATTGGGTGACTCTTTATGAGCAGAAGTTTTGGCACTAACAGCGGGAGTACAAGGAGCAAGAATTTGGATCTGAGGAAGCTAACCATTGAAGGAGATTCCCAACTAGTAGTGGGCTGGATACAAAGTGAGGAGAAAAAATGTGGGGCTACAAAAATGAAAGGAAGAAATTCAGATGGCTAACAAAAGACATGGATGTGAGTTACAATAAGTTAAAAGAAGTGCTAACTCCTTGGTAGATTCTTAAGCTAAATAAGGGATGGGGAGAGATCAATTGTTTTGGACTCAACTGTAAGATAAAGAAAACTTTTCTTGGGGAGAGATAAGAGGGTTTATCTCTCACTGTCAGTTTGTTCGTATTGTAATCACTATTCCTGATTCTCTTAATGAAACTTGCAGTTACTGATAAGAAAAGGTTCCTAGAACCATACTAATTCATAAAAACTCCTTCAAATCTTGATTCTATGTAGGGGAAAAGATTATGTATAACATTGTTTTATGAAACCTGGCTGATTGTGGTCCCTATTTAATTGTTATATAAAAAAAGTTATCTATTTATTTTTCAGGTTTCTCTCAAAACTAAAGAGGGAATATACACCAGAGTTTCCAAAAAAAATCTGAAGTTAAGTTCTACTTAGTTTATTCTATCCATTTATACTTCCAAATCATAATTCAAAGGTTTTCTCTACCTATAGCAGATGTATAATTAAAGGAATATTTATGTGATACCTAAACGTGACTTACCCAAATACAAAAAAAAAAAAGTCATTAATCTATTTAGGTGAATTATATTATGTGAGAAATCCTACCAAATACTAAAAAGCCCATTTCATAATCTTGTTTCCTACTTTGACAAATTCTTGACCTTGTTCAGTAAGAAAATAAAATAGAAGTCACTAACTTGAAGAATTTAACAACTAAAATCCTTGGCATTGCTACAATTACATACACTGCAATTTTTTCAACAAAGAATCTTATAATAGCAAAACATCAATACCCTTAAAATACCTGAATAGAAGATCCAATAATGGTAAATGTTGATGTAGGGTCATTCAACTCTTTCTCTAACCATGCCCATTGAGAACTGCCCAAAATGCTTCCATCACTGAATAGTGGGTCTCTATGGTATCTGGTATCCAAGAGAATAACCTGAAGACGCATATTATTTACATTTCCTCAAGACACCCTTGTATGTACGACAATATCTATTGCCAATATGGTTTGCTAGTTCAATTGGACAACAAACTCTTTGTAGTCCTGTGCATTTGTGGGAATCCGGTGGTAGGCCTAATAAGTTGCAAGATGGAGGCATCTCAGCCAAGATGGTTTATTCTTGTGCATTGAAATACACCTATTGCCCGAATAAGCAGTAAGGAGTGACTTGATAAAAGGTGAGAGTTCAACAGAACTTTTTCTTTTGCCAAGAAAAAAAAGGACATGGCCATTTATAGGGTGAAATGGTTAAACAGGACTTGCATGTCCAACTCCAAATAATGGTTAAAGTAAAAAATCGAAAAATTAAAAAACTGTCCACTTTCACACCTTGATATTTTTATCCTTGGGGCCAAATGTATATGAGGCATACACACCAGCCTGTTTACGCCTGCGATAAAGAAAACATCATGAGAAGTACAACTGCATAAAGCCTTGCTTTTTATGGACTGCTTTTATGTCTCACCCTCACAGACTTTCATTAAATTTTTTCAATTTCAAAGTTCTCATCATATTTAACAAAGTGTATAGTGTAGAACAATTCAAAATATGTATGGTTGTGAAGCTTATGTTGATCATTTCATGGTAACTACAAGTCATTTTTATTAAAATTGACCACTTCATAGTAACTAAAGAAAGAATGAGCCCCACCTTGGGCTATCTTGGGGTTCATCTAGGAAATCTAATAGAAGCCTTTGGTTAATTTCCTTTCTGCTAAATTCTTTCCCTGCATCATTTAATCCATAATCATGGTCATCCCATGTGCCAATTACCTGCAACATTGAAGCAATGGTGACTACCACAAAGAAAAGAAGTTAAAAATCCAAAAGAGATTAGTAAAATATAAATGAAAAACAATACAAACTATTTTCCATTAACATGAATTAACTAAATGAGCATGTACTTCTTGGATACATTCAAATTAACAAGATAGAGCACCTGAGTTTTCTCTCGTAGCTGAGAATATCCTGGATTGCTCTTAGCTTTCTTATATCTTATCTGCATTTCCTCCTCAGAGACTGGAACAAACCGTTGGACATTCTTCCATGGCCCAAATGTTCTTTCTTTCCCAAATAGTTTAAAGGGTCGCCTAATGTCTCCATATATATTATCCCCCATCCAAATAAAAATTTGGGGATCAAAGTCAATTATGGCTTTCCAAATGGGCTGCAAAAAAAAACTAAAATTGTTAGTGTTATGCATGTTATTCTACCTATCTGAACAAGAAAGAGAGCACAAGATTCAGGGGTGTCAATGGAATGAATCAACCTCCATCCCCAAAGAGCCCTATATATATTAATAATATGTACAACCAAAGTTCAAATTTTCGATATGATGCACCACGTGTCAGGCGTATCGTATCGTATCTTTTGGGTCCTGATACGCCTGTGTACAAGCGTTTCGGGACCCCACTCTTTTTTAATAAAAAATACCTCTATTTAACTCCCCAAAAACCAAGTTTTGAAAAAAAAACTATAAAAACATATTTCCGCATGCATCTAAGTACCGATACGCCTCTACCAGTACACAGAGGTGTACCGATATTTTGAACCTTGTGTGCAACTACAATAAAGCCCTTACAGAGCTGAAAGAAGAGAAAATGAAATAAAAGAATATATGTAAAAGCACAACAAGGACTATAGTATTACAATCCATCAAGACTCTCCACACTCCCCCTTAAACTGATGTGAAGACATAAGCATCACTTTGCTTACAAGAAAGACATGTTTGAGTCTCGTCATAGCCTTAGTAAAAAATACCAATTAATCTGCATATTTGAGGCTACATGTGGAAAAGAGATAGAATCAGCAAGAAACAAGTCTCTAAGAAGTGACAATCCACCTCAATGTGCTTAGTCCTCTCGTGAAAAACTGGATTAGATGCAATCTTGATAGCATTGATGTTGTTGGCATAAAGAGGAATAGGAGTAGGGAGATGAACACCAAGGTCTACAAATAGGAGTAGGGAGATGAACACCAAGATCTACAAAGAAGGTCTCTAATAAAGTGACAATCCACCTCAGTATGTTTAGTCCTCTCATGAAAGATAGGATTAGATGCGATCTTGATAGCGCTGGTGTTGTCGGCATACAGAGGAATAGGAGTGGGAAGAGGAATACCAAGATCCATGAAAAGAGACTTCAACCAAACAATCTCGCTACATGCAGAAGACATAGCTCTATGCTCGGCTTCAATAGAAGACTTAGAGACAGTTTGTTGTTTCTTGCACTTCCAGGAGATGAGAGAATCACCCATGAAGACGCACCACCCAGTAGTGGATCAGCGAGTGTCAGGACAACCAGCCCAATCAGCATCAGCATAAACCCTCAACTGTATGGATGATGAAGAAGAGAAAAACAGTCCCTGAGAGGTTGTGTCTCTAACATAATGGATGATGTGGCGAACAACAGTCATATGAGGTTGCCGCGGAGCAGAGACAAATTGACTGACGACCTGAACAGCATGTGAAATATCAGGCCTGGTCATAGTAAGATAGATCAAAGAGCCAGCAAGCTGACGGTACAAGGTAGCATCAGGAAGGATGAGGCCTTTGGATTTAGATAGCTTGACATTCAGCTCTAGGGAGGTATCAACATGTTTCTCATCAGTAATTCCAGCTAATTTGACGAGACTAGAGGCATAATTTTGTTAACAAATGAAATACCCTTGACTGCTATGATGAACCTCCAAACCCAAGAAGTAAGTAAGAGGACCCAGGTCCTTCATGTGAAAGGAGTTATGAAGTAAGGGCTTCAGCTTACAAATGTCATCATGATCATCCCCAATTAAAAGCATGTCATCAACATACAATAGGAGGATAGTGATACCCTGGGGTCTTCTCTTAACAAAGAGAGAGTAGTCAGAGGAACTCTTATTATACCCAGCTGCAACATCCTGGAAGCGCTCAAACCAAGCCCTAGGTGCTTGCTTCAGACCATATAGAGACTTCTCTAGGCGACAGACATGTGAAGGGTCACTGCAATATCCAGGCGGAGGTTTCATGTAGACTGTCCCCTTCAGTTCACCATGAAAAAAAGCATTCTTCACATAATTGGTAAATAGTCCAAGAATGAACAGCAAATATGGCCATAAGAGTTTGAACTGTGGTGATCTTAGCAACCGGGACAAATGTTTCTTCATAATCGATCCCATATTCTTGACTGCATCCTTAGCCAACTAACTGGGCCTTATATCGATCAAGGGAACCATCTGACTTTAGTTTGATCGTATAGACCCAACGGCTTCCAACAATAGAAGCATCTGGAGGAGTTGGCACAAGATCCCAAGTACCATTCTCGTGGAGGGCTTGAATTTCGGCATCCATGGCTTCTTTCCACTAAGAATTTCTAATTGCTTGCTGATAAGATCTAGGGTATTTGTGGAAGAAAGTACAACAGAAAAGGAACTATGGTTTGAAGGAAAACCATAGCAGTCAGGGGGTCGAGAAATACGGGTAGAACGACGAAGTGGAATAACTGAACTATTATCTGAAATAGGAGGATCTTGGGCCAAAGTATCACTTACAGGGGATATCGGAGATGGATGCTCTGGACTAGGTGAAAGGGGGGTTGTAGGCACAGGGACCGGGACACGTAGCCACTTGCAGGTGAAGACGAGAAAATCTCTCTCAGTCGAGGAAATAGTAGTATCATCTGAATCAAAGTCCTGCAAAACAGAGATGGAAGGAGCAGACAATCTAGCAACCCCAACAAAGGAGATATGTTCAAGAAACACAACATTCTGGGAAATCCGAATACAACCAATAGCAGGATCATAGCACAAAAATCCTTTGTGGTCAGGACTATATCCTACAAAGGCACACATAGCAAACTGAGCAGTTAATTTAGATCGTTCACGAATAGGAAGATGTACAAAACAAAGACAACCAAAAACATGAAGACTAGAGTAATCTGGGGGATGACCAAAAAGTTTTTGGAAGGGAGAAGTGTTGCCTAGAACAGAGGAGGGAAGAAAATTAATCAAATACACGGCTGTATTGGCTACTTCTACCCAAAACAAAGTTGAAGTATGAGATTCCTATAGTAATGTCCCCACAACACTAAGAATATGTCCATCCTTCTGTTCAGCCACACCATCCTATTGTGGAGTGTCTGGGCAGTTGTGTTGAGACTGAATTCCATAACTCCTCAAGTAAGCCTGAAAGTCTCCGTCTCTATATTCCCCCCCTGAATCTGAGCGGAGGATAGTCACATTGCACTTGAATCGATTTTGCGCCATAGTATGAAATAATTTAAATGTGCCAAAGACTTCTGATTTGTGCCGCAGAAAATAAATCCAAATATATCTAGTACAATCATCTATAAACAATACAAAATATTGGTATCCCAATCTTGAAGTAATAGAAGTAGACCAAACATCACTATGTATTATCTCAAAAGGTTTAGTGGCATGTTCAGATGTATGAAGAAAAGGTAAAACATGACTTTTACTCAAACAGCAGGCAGTGCAAGAAACATCAAAAGTATGAACAGGAGGAATTTTATTCTTAATCAAACCAGAGTCAAACAAAAATTTTAATTTTTGGGAATATGGATGACCCAACCGTTTATGCCATAAATCCCAAATATTATTTCTATAACTCAACAGAGAATCAGACAAAGAAGAACTAAGTAAAGCTGAGGATGCTCCTGATTGAGATTTCTTGAACTCCAACGCAAACAAACGGCCCAACCTACGCCCCTTCCCTTTCACCTTCCTAGTGTACCGATCCTATATCAAGCAACCATCATGAGAAAATGTGAGAACATTTCCTTCATCAACAAGTTGGCCAACAGAAATCAAATCGGTAGTAAGGTTGGGTACTAAGAGGGTTTTGGAGAGAATGAAGGATCTAGTTGGTAACAGTTTAAGGGACAAATTATTGCTACCAATGATGTCTAACTTTTCACCATTGGCAGTAATAATATGATTATGGTGAGTTTCAGTGGATGGATTTGGGTGATTGAAGTAGGCTCCTGTCATATGATTGGTGGCACCTGAATCTATAATCCAAGCATGTGAAGGGGAAGAACAATATGAAGAGGACTTACCAGACAAGCCAATAGCAGAGAAAGCAGAGGAAATAGCAGAAGATACCAATTGCTGAACATTTTCTTCATCCATGACACCTATTGAATCACCTTTCACTGAAGAATCACCCTTGGTGGATACAGTGTTTGTTGCTTGTCCATCTATTGCCTGATAGGCCCGGGGCTGAGTCTTTTTCTGAGAACCCTTAGCTGGTCAGACTGGACAGTCTGGAATGATGTGACCATGTTGCTTGCAATAGGTAAACACATTCTTCTTCTTACAGTGAGATTCAATGTGTCCAAAACCCTTACACTCATAGCACTGTGTTTTCGAGAAGTCCTTGGAGGTTGGCTTCTTACCCCCATGAGCAACAAAGGCTGTTTCAGCCCCAACTTCAGCCATCTTCCCATCAAACCCGGCTGCAGTGAGAAGTCTAGTCTCTTCCCTCAGAAGTTCCCCTAAAACATAATCCATATCTGGAAGTGTTCCCCTACTTAGAATGTTGGACCTGATTATCTCATATTCAGGTCTAAGTCTCATCAAGAACTGGGTCACCTTTCTCTTCTCAAAGTGTTTCTGAAGATATTTCACACACTCTGTTGGATTTGAGGGTTCAATGTGAACAATCTCATACTCAACCCATAAATCAAGACTAGAATAATATTCCTGTATCCTCCTATCTCCTTGGTTGTAGGAAAAATTTCTTATTCTATTTGATACTGTTTAGATACGTTGAACTGTTGATAAACTTTTTCCAGATACAAGTACATCTCATAGGTTGTTTCCATTATCCAACTTCCATTGTTGTAAAGCCTTGGCCTCGGTCTCAGCTAGTTTAGTGATTGTTCCATTCAGATATCCTTCTAAACCTTTCCCTTCAACACAAAAGTCAAAATGGAACTTCCACATCCCATAGTTCTGTCCATTCATCTTCACAGAAATGAAATCACCTGTCTAAAGCCATTACAACAAGAAAATAGCACAAAATAGGGTTCGGCTGAAGTTTAAAGGAACTAGACTGAAGTAAAACTTGATCAAAATGAGTGAAATAAGCTGTAATCGAATCCAAGAGAGTCAAAAAACTGAGAAAGAAACACCTTACTTTCACTGGAGATTGTTCAAGATCCAGTAGAAGAA